TTTTTTTTTTTTTTTTTTTTTTTTTTTTGCGAGTGGCTCGTCTGCTAAAGCCGTCGGACGAGGCTGATTCGAGGAGTCTGTTCGTTCCATTTTTGTTAGTGTTTTCGTGTTTATTTTATGTTTATTTTTTCCCATTCTAGGCATTTATTTTTGGCTTTTGGTCCATTTGTGAGTTTTGTCATGCATTTTCTTTATTTCGCTTGTTTTGGTTTTTCTTGTTTGTTTTTCTCGATTTTCTGCGTTTTTCTTTTCGGTGGTGGTGTGCAGGATAGGCGGTTCGGTCGGGAAGTGGTCACGCAAGGATAATTATCTAGACGGATGAGTTGGGGTCGAGTGGGAAAAGACGGAATCCAATTCCGGGTCCAGATGCGTGGATTCGAGCCGGAAATCACAGCCGGATCACCGAAATCCTTCACCGCGGCCCGCGACAATGTTCCCGCGGCCGCGGTGAACAAACCTCCCCAGTGCCCAGTTTTACTCGCCGCGGCCCGCGACGGTTCCTTCACCGCGGCCGCGGCGAACAAAATGTCGCAGTCATACAGCTAGGGATGGCAATGGGGACCCGATCCCCGATTACCCGTGGGGAAATCCTCTATTAGGGGATGGGGATGGGATGAAATCTTCCCCCATGGGGGTGCTAATGGGGAGAAAATCATCCCCGACGGGTAAACGGGTATGGGGATGGGGAACCAATCTCCGTCCCCGTTTACACGCGGGGACCCGTTAAGCTAGTATACATGCTAGTTATTCCAATATATTTATACATACACATGAATGATGATGTAATTACATGAGAATATATTAAATATGTAAACATAATATCATATTATGTATGTAATGTGATAAATTGAAATCATATAATGTGATGTTATGCCACCTACATAGTATAAATAAAATACATATCAATAACAATTAGCGGGTATGGGGATCCCCGATGGGGATTTATCCCCGTGGGTAATGGGGTTGGGGAGAAAATCCTCCCCGAAAGCATAAATGGGGATCCCCATGGGGAGAAAATTCTCTCGCGGGGATGGGTATGGGGAGTCAATACCCGATGGGGAATTCCCCATTGCCATCACTTGATACAACACTTCAGTCCAGGATTTCCCGCGGCCTCGGGGGTTGGTCGCGGCCCGCGGAGCTTCTTCGCCGCGGCCCGCGAGATGGGTCGCGGCCCGCAAAGTCCGCGAACTGCAGATTTTTAAAGTTATATTTTGGGATTGTTTTTCATTATGTGGGATGTTAGGTTTTGTTCTTTCTCGTACGAAATAAGTTCCAGAACCCATATTTTTCACTTGTTTCTCTTGGGGATCAATCCTGAGGGTGAAAACTTAGAGATTTTGACTCTTGGATTTGGTTTTTCTATTGTTCTCGACATTGGATTCGTTAATCGTAAGCTTTACTTTCGTTTTACTTTCGATTGAGATGGCTTTGATTATTGAATATGTTGATGTTGAATGCATAATGAGTAGCTAAATTCATTAGCTAGGGGTAGGGGATTATCGGTCCGGTTCGATTTCGTTTAAATGCTTGGTAATTGCTCATCTTTCCGAGTTGTGCTTAACCTAGGGTTTGGATGCTTGATCTCCATCTTAATCTAGTTAATCAATTTAGAAACCGAAAGGGGATAAATTGTTCGATCTAGGCTCGTTAAGAATAGGCTTGTTCGGTAACGTATTGTCTATGTGCTAATTGATTCGTTAATGATTTATTTATGTTTATTCTCTTGTTTCGTGAGATATTGAGAATGAATCTCTGGATGAGTTAGTTTATTGAGTCCTTTAGCCGAGTAATTTATTGCTTGCTAAATGCATTGAGAACCGGAAGCGAAATCCCCAATACCCTAGCACTTTTATAATAATTGTTCTTCGTCTTTGCTTACTACTTTATCTGCTTTATTTAATTATTTGCAGTAGTTGATAACTAAAAAAACCCATCCAATTATTTGATTTAGAATGTTTAGGAATTTTACTTCTTTTATTTCTTCTAATTGTGTTGAGTAAACGTGCTTAATAATCTGGCTAACCTTCCTTGCGATACGACCCGGTGTCGAATCTTTCGATTCTACTCCGGTAAAAATACTTACAATAAATTGGCGCCGTTGCCGGGGAAAAGGTTTAGGATTATTTTGTGCGCCTATTTATT